TAAGATATATCAAAAATACTTTATAAAAAAATAATTAAAAAATGGAAGTAAATTTTGAATAAATAAAAATTAGTTTATGTATCAATTAAAATTAATAATATTTTAGAAAAGTTAACATGAAAATGTTTTTACAAATTAGATTACATGTAAGTTAATTTTAATTTATGTAGAAACTCATTTCATTTTTTTTTTATTTTTCTCTTAGAAGTACTTCTAAAAAAATTTACTCAAACACACCTTAAGTTTACTCATGCTGAACTTTTTCATATCCTTACTAATTAAAATAAAAACTCCAAAAATATAGCTTTTTTTTATAACTTGAAACAATTTAGTAGAAAGAGAGAAAAAAAAGAGCTTAATAAAAGTGATAAAAGAAAGAGAATAGAGCAAGAAAGAAAAAAAAAAAGATTTTTTCTTTTTTTCAAAAATCTCATCATTTACTTTCTTTTAAATGCCTTTATATTTTTTTATAAAAAATAATTATTTAATTTGTTAAGAACTTTTGAAAAATGTACTTAATTTAACTTGTAACTTTAAGGAGAAAATAAAATCTAAATCAAACACTCATGACATGCGTACTGTTTGATTTAACCTGTAATCAAACAAAAAATAAGTTATTTAATTTGTTAAGAACTTTTAAAAAAATGTACTTAATTTAACATGTAATTTAAAGAAGAAAATAAAATCTAAATCAAACACTACACGTGTATATCATGATATTGAAATACCAAGTCATGTTAAAGAACTATACAAGGGGGAATGAATCTGCATGCAGCCCGTTGTTTTCATGATGAAAGGTCAATCAAAGTATATATAAACATTGTAAGTTGTGTAACGCTTTATATGTGTAGGAAATGTTTCATTGTATTGGTTTGGAAGAAGAGCAAGACTGATAGTAGCAGACGCAGAGCTTGCACGATTAGTTTTAACAAATAAGAATGGCCACTTTGTCAAGCCACCACGTACCCCCTTCGTCAAACTTCTAACATTAGGATTGACAACATTAGAAGGCGAAACATGGACTAAACGCAGAAAGGTGGTAACATCAGCTTTCCAGCTTGAGAAGTTGAAGGTACGTGACATTCTATATTAGTATTTTCAGAACCAGATTGGTCATCAACTCGGTCTCAACCTGAAAGTTATGCAAATCAAGAAAATTTTAATGATAGTATAACTAGTATTATTTTCAAACCAACAATATGATAACATAGTATAAGGTCAAATCATATAGGCAATGGTGCCAGCATTTTCAACCAGTTGTCACAACATGATGGAGCGGTGGGGAAAGCTAGTAGAACCAAGTGGATCATTTGAATTAGATGTTAGTGCAGAATTCGACATTCTTGCCGGTGATGTCATAGCTCGAACAGCCTTTGGAAGTAGCTACCAAGAGGGAAAGCAAATTTTCGAACTACAAAAGGAGCAAGTAATGTTGGTGAACGAAGCCATGAACAACATCTATATCCCAGGTTTCAGGTACAATAAATCAACTATTGTGTTACTTGTTAATTTAGAAGATTCATTTTGTTATTTGCACGCTTGGATTAAATCCACCTTGTATGATTGTATTGTGAAACTAGATTCTTACCAACTAGGAAGAACAAGCGTAGGTACAACGTAGATGTCCAAATCAAAGCTATGTTGAGGGATATTATTCAAAAGAAAGAGCAAGTAATGAAGGAGGGTAAATTGAAAGAGCACGACTTATTAAGCATACTACTACAATGTAGAGATCAAAATAATTCTCTAACAACAGAGGACGTGATTGAGGAATGCAAGTTGTTTTACTTTGCTGGCCAAGCGACCACAGCCAACACGCTTGCATGGACTATGATTGTTTTATCTATGCATCCTGATTGGCAAGAAAAGGCAAGAGAGGAAGTGTTGGAGATTTTTGACAAAAGTGAACCCGATTTTGAAGGCATAAATCACCTCAAGATAGTAAGTTTAATTTCACAATCAATTAAAGGGTATAAATGAATTTTCTATTGTTCTAATGCAAAATGAATTTCAAACCAAATTAAAGGGTATAATTTGAATCCAAAATTTGACAACATGCAGGTGTCAATGATATTGTATGAAGTTTTGAGATTATATCCTCCTATAACAGCCTTTCACAAATACAATTGGTGTGAGACAAGGGTAGGTAACATGTCCATCCCAGCTGGGGTTGAGGTTTGCATACCCTTGCTACTTCTTCATTATGATGGCAACTATTGGGAGAAGCCTGAAGAGTTCAACCCAGTTAGGTTTACTGAAGGGGTTTCGAAAGCTTCAAAGGATCAAATTGCTTTCTATCCGTTTGGTTGGGGACCAAGAATCTGTCCTGGCCAAAACTTTGCATTCATAGAAGCAAAGATGGCTCTGGCTATGATTCTTCAACGTTTCTCTTTCCAGCTCTCACCCTCTTATGCTCATGCTCCAAGTAATTGTATTACTCTTAAGCCACAATTTGGAGCTCCCATTGTTATTCGTCGGACTTAGGACTTCTAATAAGCTTGTGGATTGTTGATTTCCTGATACGTCCTTTGTACTTGTCATTCATGAGTGAATCACAGTTACTCTTTTTAGGATATGATGAGATTCTAGTTGTTATAATTTTTACTTGTTTAAATTTTTGTGCATTCAAATTTAAGTGTAAAATAGTTTTATATTATCATCTCATTATAAATTCATGAATGATAAAATTATTCTTTTTTAAAAAATATTTTAAAAATCATACAAACAATTATTTATAATTAATTAATAATATAATTTTTTTAGATCGATAGTATATTATCATTAAACTTTTTTTTATTTTTTATCTTTTATAAAATTAATTTAATTATTTTAATCTCTTATTGTTATTATGTGTTTTTTTACATTGTCATTATTGGTTTATAATAAGTCCACAATGTATTTTTTTTTAAAATTAATAATATATGATCATTAATTTTTTTTAGTTCTTATAAAATTAATTCAATTATTTTAATCTCTTATTTTTTGTTACGTGTTTTTTATTCTGTCACTAAAAAAGTCTTGTTAAATATGATGATGTGGTAAATAAAATATTATGTTATTGTATCATCTGTCATATTTATGTATGCATATCTTTTAAAAATTGAAATGATAACAATAATTATAAAAATTAAAAAATAAAATACTAAATTGTAGGGACTAAAATTTTTAAAATAATTTTATAGAAATCGGAAAAATAAAATATCAAATTATAAGAACTAAAAGAATTATTTAAGACATTAAAATAAGAATAAAGAAAATTAAAAGTCGCCATTTACTACTATTGTCGTAAACTCACCATTTCTACTATCTCAACCACACAAACCAAACTTCAAATCAACCAACTCACCATTACTACTACCAGCCATGAATCTTTCTCCACCACCTCTCGTCATTTGACTTTGCCTTCACTTGTGCAATACTTCGTTATTTTCTCTTCCCTTACATTTAAATACACCTCCATGTCATATTTTCTTTGATATTATTGTCATTAATTATAATCAATGTGTCGTCGCATTAGAGAACATAGTGTGTTGTTCATGTTGTTACCACTAAATGACGAATGCAAATATGTTGCTTTTCTGTTATATTTCTTATCCTCATTCCTTATGATTGACAGAAACCACAAATCACATTAAAAAAACAAACACTCGTGATTTTGGAATTTCGTTTAACTTAAATTTGAATTATAGGTTGACTTCCTCCACGTGGAGAGACTTCTGTGATTGGAATGGTTGAAAGAGAAAACACAAGATTTGCAACATTGATGATCAACAATGGATTTTATTTTATTTTTCCTCTTATTTTAATTTATTTAAATATTTTTTTAGTTCATATAACATGATATTTTGCCTTTAAAGTCACCATATATTTATTTTGGTCTTCTTAATTGATATAATTTTAGTATTTTATTTTCTAATCCTTGTAAAATTATTATTATATCATCATCCACGTACTATCTATATACACATATTTCATAGATTAAAATAACCAATTTTTTTTTTACGGGAAATACAAAATAAAATTCTCAATTATATGATCTAAAATAAACAAAATAAATTTATGTGGTTAAAATAAAAACAAAATTTCCAAATTATAGGATAAAAAGATATTTAAACCTATTTAAAATCAAGAAAGTAGTTGATATTAAGCTTATTATCAATAACAAGAACAATAATAATCTTTGTGTTAAAGTTACTATCATATCAAAACCTTTGAACATAATTTTTTAATATTTAAATTTCACTTTTGTTTCTCTTATAATATTTAATATATAATTTTGATCCTTGATTTTTATTTTTGTAATTTTACTCTATATTTTTTTTTTATAAAATTTATAATTTTAATCCCTTCATTGAATGTTTATTCACTAGTCATTAAATTTGTAATGTTAGTCAAGAGATTAAAATTATGAAATTAGAAAATTAGGGACCAACGTTGCAAATTAAACATTATCATTGTCTTGGTCTATCAAAATTACAACAACATCAAGATTTAATTCTAAAAACCTTGTATACTAAAAATTATAAAAAGACTAAAAATATAACTTTTTTTTTATAATCAAATATTATTTTTAAGTAATATTATACATGTCAGTTAATTAAATACTTTAAATAACAAATTATTAATTCAACATTTATACTCTTTAACTAAAAATTAAGATTTGATGTTTGTACATAGAATTGTAACCGGATGTACCACTTTATTTATGCAAGAGATAGTTTTTCTAGAAAAAGTTAAATATTCTTTTTATTTTAAAAAAATTAAATACTTTAAAAATATTATACAACTAATGTTATTTAATTAGTTTTATTATTATATATTTACAACTTATAAATTATAATTTATTATAATAAATTCCTATGCATATAACTCCGTTAGTGTTATAAAAATTAATTTAAATATGAATTTTACACCGTAATGGTGAGGCACATGTTAGGTTGAAATTTGAAATGAGAAAAATATGAAAGTGGTTGAGCGGGAAAATTTTGTCTTGTAAGTGAGTTTGACTCGTAGTCTGCTACACTTTCCTTTCTTGGACAGCAAATAGAAGAGAGACGTTTCCCCGTTATTCTCGGCTCTCGCGACCTACTTCTCTCATACTCGCCACTACTTCTCATCGTTCTGTTCTAAACCCAATGCAAATGTCGAAGGAGATTCACTTTTCGTCCTCCATGTGAATTACTTTTGGTGAGTTTTCAAATCCTAACTCAAAGCTTTAAGCCAATCTCTCAAATTTCAGTGAAAGAGCTCAAATCGAAGGTTAGAGATCTTAGATATGATTTTGCATATTGAATCATCTTGTTGCGAATTTTCTTTTTCTATTTGTCTATTTTGTATTGCTGCACGGTTCATGTGTTTGAGGAAAAAAATTGACAAGTTATTATAGTTGTGAAAAATCCTCCAAACAACTATTTCTGGAGAAGGATTGATCATTGATCTTCGGGGTGCATTTATGGTTTATGCTTATAAGGTGTTTGATAAGTTACCTTTGAATTTGATAAGCCCACTATATATATTATCCCTGGAATTGAGTTCAGTACAACTGGATATACCCAGTACATTGACTGCTCTTTTCTACTTGATGAATCATCCAAAAGAGCAGTCTGTTGCTGCTGCTGCAGGGAATCATTTTCTCGCTAAAATCTCTTGGCATTTTGCATTTATATCATTCTGCTAGCATAATTATGAACTCTACATCCAAGTCTGTTTTATTAGAATAATAAAGTTGATATACTTTAAAATAGGAAGAATTTTGGATACCTTCATGGTCCTAATTTTCCATCTCATCCTTTTCCACTAGTTTTGGCCTACAAGAACATTTCATTTTCACCTTTTATTTTGGTGCCACTATACTGTCTATACACGCCTATGTGCACGGATGAGTAATTCTCTCTTTCTTTGGGTGGAAGAAAAAGATATAGTACCTTTCAATATACGAATATGCAACTTTTGTGTGGACAGCAGTTACATGTTATCAAATTACATTGTTCAGGTCATATTATAGTTGGACATATAGATGGTGTTTGTGGATGCAAATAATGCAGACTCTTTATCGAAGTAATGCAGACTCTTTACCTTAAGTTTTCTGTTGATATATAAGTTTTTGAATTATCCACCAAAATCGATAGTCTAGGTTTGGACATACGCAACAGTTACTTTATTGCCGTGTTTCAATTTTTGATCTAATAATATCATTGGGTTGTATTTCCAATTATTCTTAGGTACACACATAATTTGGGTGATAATATCACCAACGTTAGGTTGTGTCCTTGGAGAACTTAAGGTCAATGTTGCTGAAATTTTCTTAGATCAACAATAAGAAACATACAATTATATGATGTGAATTTTACAATCTTGGATAGGATAGAATCATAGAAACCCCACCCTATGTAGTATAAAGTGATGTTAAGCATGTAGATATGGAGAAAGTAATTATGTATTAAAAATTTCACCCAACCTTTCTATTGGAAAATTGGTTGAGTGGGACCTTAGAAAATTTCAGCATAGTTGTTGAGATCCTAGGAATAGAACGTAGTAATTGTGAGATCTTACAAAATTTCTGTGTTCATTGTTTGTTTTGGTTGGAAACAATTAAAGAATTAGGGTTCTTGGTTAGAACAAAGAATTTAAATGTCAAGGAATTTTTTGCCTAAAGTAATTAATTTGATCTTCAATTGACTAATATCTACTTGGATTTAGAGTTGAATTGAATGTCTTAAGAGGAAATAGAAAAGAATCAATCAATTGTGGGTGTTAGAGCAGAAGAAAAGAGAAGAGCAGTGAAATCACTGAACAACGAAAATGAAGACCAAGACGCCATTGAAGCAATTGAAGCTTGCGGTTCCTGCTCAAGAAACTCCCATTACCTCTTTCTTGTAATTATTCCTTCTCCTCCTTTTTCTACTAATCTGTTTCATCTTCTTTGCTCTATTCCTTCAATTTATATATAAATTTTTTCATTTTTACTCTCATTCTCACAATTCATCGGTTCTTTCTGCTTTGGGCATTGCTAGTGTCTAGAATGTTCTAGGGTGGACATGGATCAAATGATTCAACTATACTTTATTACGCAATAGCTTAGATTTTTGGAAACCAAGTCATTTCGAGGAAATTGTTTTTGAAGAATTCACATTTTGATTTCTCCTTCCATTTTTTTTACAAGCTCATTTTCTTTTGTTATTTCAATGAAATTGATTGATTTGGTTATTGTCAAATTATGATTAGGACTGCAAGTGGAACATTCCATGATGGAGATCTACTCTTGAATCAGAAAGGGCTGCGTCTTATGTCTGAAGAAAAAGAATCACAGGTAGCTTTATCACTATACATTCCCATTGATTTGTAATTCACATTCATTTCGTTTTTTAGACTATGTAATTTACATACCTTCAATCAATGAAGATGTTCAATGTTGATTATCTTATGTTTCCCTTTACTTGCTTCCTCTTTGTGTACACTGTACACCATTCTGCATGCATTATTCACATGTTCATTTTTGTCTTTTTTTCTCCCCCTTTTTCCCCTGGTTTCAAGCATCTAAGGCTTACAATTTGCCTCTTTGAACAGCCTTCTGATGGTAAGGAATTGGAATTTGACTTCTCGCTAGACGACCTTGAGACCATCAAAGTAATTGGAAAGGGAAGTGGTGGTGTGGTGCAACTTGTTCGCCATAAGTGGGTTGGAAAATTGTTTGCTTTAAAGGTTGTCATATATTAGTATTTTTAATTGCTTCTTTTCGGTAGATTTGCCAGTACGATTATTCTTTTGATAGATTGCTGTGTATATTTTTCATCTCATGTCTTGTTTTAGGTTGATGTAAGTTGAAAGAGAAGAAACAGTTTTTATTCGATCTCAAGGGTTACATGTGTACCCATATATATATACACAAATAAAATGCTATCTTTTGTCCGTGGTAATAAAAAATAAAAGATAAAATAGCTTATCTTTTGGTTTATCTTTTATATAAATGACAAACTAATCTAAAAGATAACTTACAAGATAAACTGCAAGATAATTTTTCCTATCCTAAATATCAACGGTATTCACAACAAACTTTTCTTTCCATAACATGAAGTCATGCAAATGGATGCCACAATATTGGTTTTAACTGTTGCTTTTACTAAATGGTTGTGAATGTCTTAAGATATGAGAACATGGGGGAAATACTATAGATGTTTTTTTCTCAATATAGAGCATCATTACAGGGAGTTGGAGTTTAGTAAATCTCATTTAAATTGTTTTCTATAAATGTGATGTAGAATATCTTTCCAAGCATATTGAAGACTGTATCCCAAGTTTAATTTTGTTTCAAGTTTCAACACTTTTGATGAAACAGTTTACCATTGTAATCTGATGCTACTGTTAAATATTGCCTTTTGAAACAAAGCTTTTTGTTTTGAAAATAATTTTCAACATTTAACTTTTGTATGATTGGGAAACATCTTTGGACTTATGTTGCAGGTTATTCAAATGAATATACAAGAGGATATTCGAAAACAGATTGTTCAGGAACTGAAAATAAATCAAGTGTCACAGTGTCCACATGTCGTAGTGTGCTATCACTCATTCTATCACAATGGAGTTATATCTCTTGTGTTAGAATACATGGATCGTGGTTCTCTAGCAGATGTAATCAAACAAGTTAAAACAATTTTGGAGCCATATCTTGCTGTGGTTTGTAAGCAGGTATGCTAGACCATACATCCATTTCTTGTTGAAATTGGCAGATTCTAGTCCTTGCAAGTGGCAATAGTTGGAAGCCATGTTTTGCTTCCTTTTTAAATATTCACATGCATATTTCAGGTATTGCAAGGTCTTGTTTACTTGCATAATGAAAGACATGTAATACATAGGGACATTAAGCCATCCAATTTGTTAGTTAATCACAAAGGCGAGGTGAAGATTACTGATTTTGGTGTCAGTGCTATGCTAGCAAGCTCAATGGGCCAAAGAGATACATTTGTTGGAACTTACAATTACATGTCGGTACGTAACTTTCCTTTATTTAATCTTGTTCCATATTACCAGAAACTGCTTGGCATTTCTTATCAATCCCCTCCCCTCTTTTTCTCTAGACCTTGCATCTATAACCATATGGTGAATGTTATGCTTGATACTGGTTTATTTTGTTGGTTTCCATTTTTAGCCAGAAAGAATTAAAGGGAGTACTTATGATTATAGCTGTGACATCTGGAGTTTAGGCATGGTAGTGCTCGAGTGTGCCATAGGACGTTTTCCTTATATACAATCTGAAGATCAGCAAGGCTGCCCTAGTTTTTATGAGCTTTTGCAAGCAATTGTGGAAAAACCCCCACCTTCTGCTCCATCGGATCAATTCTCACCGGAGTTTTGTTCATTTGTCGCATCCTGGTAATAGTTTATTTCTTTTTACTTCCTTAGTTTCAATATCAACAAAACTAGAAAACTGAAATACGGCACTGAAGTGTTTCCACCATGGCACTGCATTACAAGATGTTTTTTGTTTTGATGACTACGGTGCCCGGGTGCTTTTTAGCTTCATATTTATTAGAGAAATTTGGAGATTAAATTTTAACATGTTCAAATAAACATGTCACATTGATTATCTCTTGTAAGTTTGAGTAGTTTTGTTTTGAAACCTAATGTTTGCGCCTTTAGTTTATACCTGTTGTTTTTCTATTGGCTAGTCTTCTGCTGTAGCTACTGTTTAACTTTTTTTTTTTTTTGACAGATACTGTTTGACTTCTTTAACATTTGTTTTGTTTCTAAATTGGGTTTAATTACAGCATCCAAAAGGATCCTCGGGATAGATCAACATCTTTGGAGCTTCTGGTTAGTAACATAATGTTTTATTGTATATTTTAGATTTTGTTAGGTTTAATTGTTCTTTTGGTTTTATTACTATCGTCATTCAAATATAGTATTTCCTTTCTTTTTCTTGCAAATTTGATCTCACTCTTTTATTTGTACAATTTTTTATTAATTCATTAACTTGACATCCAATATTTAATGAAAATGCTAATTTGAAAGTAAACTGCTGACATGGCCGTGTATTATAGTGTAACATTAGTATTTCCTTAAATATTGGATGTTAAATTAACGAATGGACAAAATTATACAATTAAAATAGTAGGGAATTAAAAAAATTAATAAAATAAAAGGATCAAATTTAAGAAATGACGATAGTAAATGAACGAAGAGTCCAATTAATCCTACTTGATGATTGTTCTAAAATCTCATTGTACTTTCAGGGTCATCCTTTCATAAAAAAGTTTGAAGATAAAGATCTAGATCTTGGGATTTTGGTAGGTAGCTTGGAACCTCCTATAAATTTTCCCAGATAATTCTTATAATTTAAAGTGATAAAATTTGTACTAGTCAATCATAACTCTTGGTGACAGAGCAGGGAAATTTCTCTTATCTATTATATTAGATGAGTATACTGGTATGAGTCCTAAACTTGGTGACTTCATTACAGTTTTCTGAAAACATATGTATAATAGTTCTCTTGTTTGTATTTAAGGGCTTGATCATTTTGTTTGATATTCTTTAAATATGAAGCTTACACTACGTCATTATAGACGAGACAAGTATTTAATAAATAGGGTTAAGTTTTCCGATTATGTTGATTAGAAGCACAGCGTTAATTTTCAAGAAAATCAGTTCAGAGTGCATTGATCCTTAATGAATGGGGTCAAGATTTTTAGTTAATGTCTTCTCTTTTATGCGCACTTTTGGAAGGGATAGAGAATCTCAATGGATGGGATCAATGGTTTGTTGTTTACAAGTGATGAGATCATGAGAGACCAAACATTCCATTGAATCGGTGAATTGAAATAGCGTCATAATCCAATCAGTCGGGGGCACAATTAGTATTTTGCAAAGTCAATATTGTATTTCATTTTTTTCAATTAAAATATTCAACGGTAGTGAATGTGTCTACTCGCAACTACCATTTAAAATATGGGTTTAAGAAGGTTGTTTCAGGAATTTGATCCGATTAATATTTAATGGATTGAGTTGAATTTATATATATATATATATATATA